GGAGCCTCAGTCTGAGGCCGGTCAGGGTGGGGGTGAGAACAGTGCCATGCGCAGGACTGTTTCCTCGGGCTGTGTTCCTAGAAGTGGACTTGCTAGGTCAAAGGCTTTGCATTTTTAAGACCTGTGATTCATAGCGCCAAACAGCTCTCCAGAGGGTGGTACAGATTTAAACTTCTCCTAACACAGACCCGTGGTGCCCATTCTCCCATCAATGCCGACACTGGCTATTATCCTATTCAACATCTATAAACTGTCCTGTTTGTTTTGACCACAAAGATAAATAAGAGCTTTTATTGAGTTATCTGAGTTTCCACCGAGTCATGCCCAGAGCAGCCTGCCTGCTAGCCGGTCACTGCCAATAGGGGACTCTTGCCAGTAACTGGGCAGCGGTGCCCTGAGGTCAGGCCAGACTTTTCAGAGGAAACAGAAAACCTCACTCAGATTTGGCTCGAAAGATGAAACTCTGAAGAGACGATTCAGTGTCATAGGATCCTCCCCCAAGGGCAGAGCTGGAGAGAGAAAAGAGGTTGAAATTTGAAGTCAGGAAAACCCGGGGTTTGTCCTGACTTGGCCCCTTTCTAGCTCTGTGACCTGGAGCAACTCACTTGACCTGTGCGTGCCTCAGTTGCCTTATTTTTGATATGGGATAACGACAGCCCCAACCTTTCTGAGTTTGATGAGGATTAAGTCACTTCCTCATTGTGATACAGGCTTTGTGGATGGAACCCTAATATGAGCCAGGGTTCCAGGTGGCCTGGTCCAGAAAGTGTCGCAGAGAAGTGTAGTCACCTAAAAAGGGTTAGGATGGAATTTGGATGTTCACTTGTTATTTCAAAAGGAATCCACTCCATCCACAGTTGCATTTCTCAAAAGCCTGCTTCGTCTCCTCCCCGCTTCCCTTGCATGTGCCCCTTGGTGATGCCAGAACCCCCCACTAGTCCACCCCAGACCTCCCTCCACCCCCAGCTCTCACGTTTGTCCCTCCCCCTCCACTTTGCTTTTATCGTGGAAATGAGCTTCCTCTCGCTGGTTTTGCTTGTTATCTCATCACCTTGTGTAGAATCTAGATCCTCCAAGATGACGGGGAGGCTCCTAATCTCTGTTCCCTGTCTGTGTAGGTCCTGTTTCCTGTTCCCTTCTCCCCAGCACTGCCTCCAGCGCAGATCCAGTCTGGGAAAGACGGGCAGCTGATCACAAAGCAGGGGAGGAGGGTGCCCAGGGGACAAAGACCAAATAGTTGCCAACTGGTGGGGACTCCTTATGGAAATGTGTTCGTGTGTGCACCTCACTGCCCCGGCTCCCCCAGCTTTCATCTCTTGTCCTTTCACTGAAGCTTTTTAACATCTTGAGAGCTTTCCCTTTAGTGAATGTGTTCTTTTCTCCCTCCCATTCTCCCAATAGAGAGGTGAGAGAGGGCACATCCTAACCCAAGCTTTGTGGCCAGCCTGGCATGGTGGCCCCCAGCCTTGGGAGGGGTGGGTGTGGGAGGTGGGGGCAGGTGTACTCTGGGCAGGGGCTGGTGGGGGGGGTCATCTCCAGTGAGTGGCTCTTTTCTCCAGCCTCTTTCCTCCCATTGCCAAAGGGCCCTGGTGCTTACAAAGTGTGTGTTCAAATAGAACTCCCCCAGGGTCCCATCTCCTTCTGCCACCCATCCTCACCCTCCCTGCTGGGGTCTTGAGAGATTCCTTCCACCGTTCTGCCCCCACCCCAGCCTCCTGGCCCTGCACCTCATCCTGCTCCCTAAGATCCATGCACGCTCTGTTTTTGTGTGTCCCCCTCCAGCTCTGATGGGAGGGTGAGAGCAAGCCTGCAGTGGAGAAGAGCTGGAGCCTTGGGGTCAGGCTGGAGTCAGCCACCTCTCCCCCTGACTTAGGACTGTGTGTCCTCTGGGAAGATGCTGAATCTCTCGGAGCCTCAGCTCCCTCATCGGTAAAGTTGTGATTCCACCCACATCCTCACCTCGTGGGGCTCAGGGGAACCTGAACCCGTCAGGTGTGCTTTAGATGTGGTGTCAGTGACGATGCGGGTGATGCTGGCCTCTGTCTATCCCCTCTCCATGTGCCCGGCGCTCCCTGACTGTCCATTCACCACTCTGCTGGGTGTCCTGCCAGCTCCTGGCAACACCAGGAGGTATAGTAGCTGGTGGGGAGGCCACTGAGAGTCACCCTAAGAGGGCAGAAGTGCTGCGATGAGAGTAAGGGGCCTAACACCACCTAGGGTAACCAGGGAGGGCTCCCTGGAGGAGGTGGTGTCTGAACCAGGCCTTAAACAGTGAGCAAAAAGTAGGCATTCATTTTTTTCACTCATGTGATTAATAAGCATCTAAGCCACATGTAGAGCATAGAAATGCTGCATCAGGTGTTGGAAAAACAAGAGCACATGACGTGTTGGTCTTGGGAGGTGTGAGACCAGGAGAGCAGAGAGGACATCTCAGACCTCCTTCTCAGGCTGGCACAGGGCCAGGGCATGGCCAGGCTGAGTACAGGGGTGCTGGAAGGGCTGGCCTCATGTGGGGGTCAGAGCCAAGGGGCCTTACGCCACTAGGTACTGCAGAGCCAGGCGGTGGAATAGTATGCAGGCAAGAACAAGGGAAGCTGGCACTCCCTCTGTGCGGACACGGAACGACCTTCAAGATTCATTGTTAAGAGAAGCCCAGCAAAGTGCCAAACTTCATGATGGGGCTGTTACGCTGCAGACACATGCATGTGCATAGGTGTGTGCGAGTGCACGTGGGGGCGGCCAGGGCAGGGACTGGCCAGTAGTTGCTCAGTGGCCACCCAGTGGAGACCCTGCTCCTGGGAGGATGTTTGCTGCTAATCTGTAGCCCACGGGGTTGCAGAGAGCTAGCTGGGCCAGTGGAAGAGGGAACAGGCCCAGAGCAGGCAGGTGAGGCAGGGGTGAAGGCCCGCCCAGCCATGGGGTTGCTGTGTGACTTGGTGGTGGATGGCTGTAATATATGAACAAATCTGTGATGGGACGTTACTCAGCCATGACACGCTACAACGCACATGAACCTTGAACACTTTGGAAGTAGCCAGAGGTGGTGGTCACAACACTGATGACAACTGGTGACCATTTTGTGGTGTTGCCAGAGGTTGGCACAACACTGTGAATAGCCCAAGTGCCACTTAATTGTCCACTTGAAAATGGTCAGTTTTATGTTGTATGAATGTTGCCCCCATAAATTATTTGCAAAGAATTCAAATGCTGTACTGATGACCATGCATGCGGGTACAGCTGCCCCTGGCCCGAGGCAGTTGGCCAGGGAAGAATGGGCCCGGGCAGCTGTGAGTCTGCATTTCTAGGTGAAATCTCCTGATTTGAGCAACTGAGAACAGGTACTTGATGCACCCGGGGGGGCCAGGTCCAGGTCACAGTTGCCAGCCTGCAGCCTCTGCCCAAGATGACTGGGGACAGAGCACCACCCTTGGTCCAAAGCACCTTGACAGCTGCCCACAGGCCTTGGGCTTTGCTGGGAACAAGGAGGGCAGATGGAAAAGTACCCCCGGCGGAGAGAGCATCCCACACCAACACGAAGACGCTGGTGGTTTTCAAAGACACGAGTTGCAGCCTCTTAAAATTCCATAGGCCTCCCTGCCCTGGATAAAATGCTTGCTGGGGAGATGGCAAATGTTTACCCTGGTGGGACTTTGTTATAAATGGACTTGGTTTTGTTTAGTTGGTTAAGTTTTTATTTGGTTAAAAGAAAAAAAAAAACCCTGTAACTGAGGACTCGGTGTTAGTCCAAAAAAGCCAAGAAAGGGCAAATGAGATAGACGAGGAACCCGACTGCCCATGGCACCTCGGGTCTGGCTTGAGGTCCTCCTTGGCTGCGAAGCCCATCACTGGACTAGCCTGCCGTCACTGCTGCCATTTCTTGAGTGCCTACTAAGTAGCAAGCATCCCAGTCAGCCCTTTGTGGTTCCTGCTTTCTGATCCTGCCAGTGGTTGCACAAGGCAGGAACTGTTGTTGTGTCATTTTAGAGATGGGGAAACTGAGGCACAGAGAAGAGTAGGCGCTTGCCCAGGTCACACAGCTGGGAGGTGGCAGGGATGGGAACTGTAGCCTGTCTGGCTCTTTCTCTCATGGAGGCCACCTAGTCACTGAGCTTCCTGGGGCACTGGGCAGGGCCCCCTGCCTGCCAGCCAGCCTGCAAGGCCACCCGGTGAGCAACTGTCCCCAGGTGCCCAGATGGCAGAGTGTCACCCAGGCAGAGGCCAGAGAAAGGCCATGTGCAAACCCCTCCTGACCACTTGAATGCCCACCCCTGTACCCTGCTGGGCGGCTTTCCACAGCACATGCCACCCCTGCTCCCACTGAGGACCCTGACCCACGCACGAGGGAAATTCTTTGAAGTTCCTGATATTCACAAGTCCATTTGCTTTGCTCCTGTGCTTTGGGGGAGATGGCCAGCCCATCTTTAAGAAATCTGCTTCAGATGAGTCTCCACCCAACTTGGCTGATGACCTTTGTGTGTATGTGCGTGCGCACTTTCTCTGAGCCCTGTAGGCTGAGCCATGTCACCTTCACCAGCTCTTCCAATTCCCACATTCTCAGCTTTTACCCAGCTCCAATTCTGAGTTGATGTTAAAGAGACTAAAACTCGCTGCCAAGCCTTTCCCTGCCCCAGGGCCTTTGCACAGCCCTTCTCTCCTCTTGGGAAACCCTTCCCTGATTCCTTATTCTCTGTGATATGCACTTTAATGTTCCCTCTCCCTGCTGCTGTTTTTTAATAGCATGAATCATAGTATGTAATTATACATTTAATTTCTTGTATTTTTGCTTATTGAGGGCAGAGGCCTCGCCGGCACATAGTAAGGGTTCAATAAATACTTGTGGACCAGCTGGCTGGGAGCCTATGGTGCAAGAATTTTTCTGTGGCCTGAGCAGTGTGCAGTGTGTGTGCATTTGCTGGCCCATGGTGCCCTCTGGTGGACATCAGGCAGATGCCAGGCAAGGACCAACCCCTTTCTCCTCTCCTTTCAGCACTGGTCCCCAGCCCTGCACCACCTGGGACCAAGGTGTGGGTAGCCACCATCAGTGACGTGTGTTGAGTCCATGACGCAGCAGACACCGGTCCTCCTGGAGTTCTGTGAGCTGCTTCTGGATGACCAGGTGAGTTGGAAGTCAGCCTGCTTCTCACATTTTATTACTTATATTGTCATTGGTATTAAATAGCTAAAGTAAATAACGTTAGCCTTACAGCAATCACTGCGTGCCACCTATGGATGGATCTCTAGGCAGCCTCTCCAGTCGTCGCCTGGGTGATGGAGTCAGTGGTGGGCTCGTCTCTGTTGTGAACCCCACTCCACTGCCCTTAGATTTGCATTAAAGCTCATGGGAAGAGGTCAAGCACGTTTATATTCTGAGCCAAGGCATGTTAAGCTGTGGGCACACGCATCCCAGACACTCAAAAGCAGAGTTTGAATATCAGAGTGGAGCCCAGGAATTCCAGGTTGGGCCTTGCACCTGCCCACGTGCTAAATGCAACCCCAGAGGCTTCCAGGGGTTAGGAAGGTGGAGGCGGCACCAGGAATTGACAGGCAAGTATGGCGGTCGGATGGGATTCAGACTGGAAACAAGGATGGAGTTCATTTAGAATATACTTTGCAGTTCAAACCCTGACCTGAAGATATTGCAGAAATAACCTCAAGGAAGGCTTTAATGTATTGTTTTCAACTTCTTTGTTAACTCAAGAAGAGGTGTTTTTTTTTATTACTTTTACTGGTTTTAAATTCAGTACTTAAAAAAGTAAAAACAGAGAAGGATCTAGACTAGAAAAAAATGCTATTATTCTAGCCAAAACGGCCATGTGGGATCCCTCCTTTCTCCCTGCCTGTGAGAAACCGGGTGCTTCATGTAACCTCAGTGAGACTCAATGTTGTGGTCTGTAAAATGGGTATACTGTTATCTGCCTTGAAGGTTGTGAGGAAGATATGAACCTGTCATGTATAAAAGGTGCTTTGGAAACGGAAATGTTGAAATTGTGTCCACCATTATTATTTAACCTTGCGCTTGGAGATTTTCTGGGAACTCAAGCTAATTCTGCCCGTCAAGTGGTGGTGCACCAGCTTGTCTGTCAGAGGGCTAATCAAAGGGCTGGTTGTCGCCTGTGAGCCTGTTTCCTTGTGCCCACGTGCATGACTACCGGATAGCAGGTCGAGCTTGACCGCCCTATGCTGGCACCTGCCAGGGAGAGAATGTCGGAGCTGGTGCGCCCACTGGCAGGTCTTCCCCACGATGCAGCAGAGCTGGGCCGTAAAGTCAGATTAACACTGTGTCTTTAATGAGCCAGAGCTTCTGCACCCAAAGGACCATGTTCCCTTCAAAGAGGTCCCTGGGAACCTGCCTCCCTGCTGATTCAGTGATGCCTCCAGGGCTTAAAACAGTCCTGCAACCTAAGGGAACTACCTTCGGAGCTGGGCAACTGCTCTCTTTGGAATGCCTGGGACTGGGGAAGCAGCCAGGGTCATCCCAAGATGAATGCTGCCCTGGGCTGCAGTGACACCCCCAAATCCCCACAGCAGCCAGGTTTCTGGCTCTGCAGAATGAAACTCTCATCCCATGTGATGCCACTGATGGGACCACCCTGCACTAAGCGAACTGTTTCCTGGGTAAATAATTGTACAAACTGCTTTTTCCTTCAGCCCATATGAACTGTGTCGACTTCCAGGCTTTTCTCATTAAGCCATAAACAGTTCTCAAAATAAGTGTCTAAAACATCCTTTGAGAGTAGACTGTAAACAGCTCAACTCAATAGCCTACTTTCCGGACTGTGTACTTTTTTTTTTTTTAATTGTTTATTCTACAAATTTATGACAGTTTTAAAATTGAGATTTTCCTGAAAGGCTCATCACCTCAGCAAATCCAAATGCTCTCATTTTTCTCTTTTTCTTTACTGTTTTGACTTTATACAGACGTGTGTGTGTGTGTGTACACATGCATATAATCTTGACACAGGCGTGTGAGCAAGGATTGTCCTCTTCACTTACACATGCATATTTGTTCTTAAAAAATCATCTTAAAAAAAAGGACAAAGGAACAATGAAAAGCTCTTGGAAATTAAAACTTTATAGCCTGATTAAAACATCCAATAGAAGACTTAGAAGACAAAGTGCAGGATGTTGTCCAGAAAACAAAGAGGAGACAATGAGAGAAAATGAGAGGAAAGTCTAGGCAGCCCAACATGCAGCATGTAAGAGTTAGAAAAATAAACTGGAGAGGCTGAAGCTCCCAAAGATGCAACAGCACTCTTACCGGAACCACCGAGCGTCAGCACAAAGCACCACGGGAGATGATTGTTAAATTTGAGGAATTAAGGATTAAAAAGAAGATATTAAAGGCCTCCTGCGATTTAAAAAAAGAAAAAGGCAAGTCACATGAAATGGGAACCAGAAATTCTTGGATCCTCTCCGCAGCAGCGCTATCTCCTACGTACTTCATGGAGTGTGGCACCTGACTCAAAGACTGGCTGAAGCATCCAAGGTCAGGGTAGAACAGAAGCATTTCAGGCTGAAATCTTGAAAAACTGGTACAAGGCACCCCTTCTCAAGGAACTCCAGGGAATGGACTGCACCAGCTGAAGAACCCAGCAGACGTGGAACCTGGGAACCGGGAAGGCAGCTGTGCAGCAGGCCTGGACCTGGACCCCACAGCCAGGCCGCCTGGGTGAAGTGGAGGAAGGCTTAGTGATGGGCACGCAGGGCACACATGAGGCCATTTTACCTCCAGGAAAAGTGACAAACGTCCACCCCAGGAGCCCACCTGGTTTGATCATCTTAATACAATCTGTGGGCATGGGGTATAAAAGTACTGGCTGAGTGGTGGGGAGGCAGGAAAGGCAGTGGCCCCAGGGGTGACAGAACTCGAGCAGGCCACGGTTCTCTGGGCCAACACACTGTGCAGAAAAACTTCCAGAATTTCCTGGAGTTTCCCATCGGGACTGGGAGCCAGTCCATTCATTCTCTAAAGATCACAAGTTGCTCATGACATGGCTCCTGGAACCAGCGCCCCCTGCACGTATCCTCACCCTGCCACCCATGTCCTCAGGCTCTTTGTGTAAAGGAGCAACCTGGGCTTCCACCTGATCCTCTGGTGACCCTGTGGGGAGCCCACCCTCTCCCAGAAAGCACTAGAAGGCTCCTTTGGGATCAACGTGGATTTTCCAGGCACCCCGCTGTTCCTGGCCTTCTCCACAGTCTTCTTTTGGGGTATTTCTCTCCTTAAGCAGCCAAACCAAAACCACGTAGAACAGAATATAGGATCTAGCCACCTTTCTAGTTGGGTAATCTTTTTATTGTCCATTTGAATGCAAACGGTCTACTTGTCTGTGATGAGCCTGTACCACATCCCAATGGGAAGAGTGTTCAACATTGCGACATTTCGCAGGGCCCCAGACTTAAGCCTGAGGGTTGCCAAGGGCCTAGCTTGGGGCCTGGGGACGCGTCTGTGTCCAGGACCCCATAGGCCTCTGCATGTCTATGACGCTAGCCAGTGCTTCTCAGGGCAGTGTACAGGATGGTCACCCACTCCATGCACCTCTGGGTCCCTTGGATGCAAACACTGGACATGTTTGTTGAATGAATTTTAGGCAGCTGAGATATGGGATCGAAGAGAAACAGCTTTTAAAGTGTTATTTCAAAGTGCACTGAACAGAGGAATGTTTAGGGTAAAGCTAAGGGAGACAGTGTGGGTCAACGGAGAGTAAGACGGTAAGTGTGGAGTGGGCAACCTTTGTGGGTGCAGCGGTCAGGGCCGGGCCACCTGTCATGGGCACTCAAGGGTCTGGAAGGAGCAAAGGGGTGACCATGGTGTCCCAGGCGCTGATGTCAATGAGTTGAGGCAAAGCCAAGCACAGAAAATGTACTGACAACCCACCAAGAGCGGCCACAGAATAAACTGCTGGTGAATTGTCAATTGGTGACTTTATTTCATACAAAAGTTACATTGAAAGAAGAGGTTGAAAAGTCAAGTATACTTGATTTGCACATACTTGCCAAGTCTCACAGGATTCAACCACTTCGATAATTGTTTTATTGATAAACAGGATATACAGATTAAAAGCCTCACATTGAAGCCAGACACATGTCCACCCTGGATGACAGATGTGCAAATGAATATGCAGAACAATCTCCGGAAACTCCTCCATCTCCTGTTCTCCTGTTCTGTCCTCTGGCTGTGACTCAGCCCTGCCCCTGATGCTCACATCTCCGCAGTGACTGAGTCCATCTCACAACCACCCCGAGCTGAGCTACTTGGTTCCGACTGTCCTCAAGCAGGTCCCTCTGTGGTTCTGCGTCAGCAGCGGTAGAAGCCCTGATTAGGATAGGGAAGGGTTCATTCAAAAGAAAAGTAAAACGGCTCACAGATGAGCAGAAAGGCGTGGCGACCAGGAGGAACACACCCACCCTTCTCAGCATGGGAGGCGGGCTCCGGGGACCCCCAGACCCTGTCAGAGATGGTTCCTCGTGAGTCCTGCAAAACACGTGTACAAACCAGGCAAGTTTAAGGCGAGTCCCCGAGGAGGGGAGCTGTTTGCTTTCTGGCATAATTTTAAGCTCTGCACCAAGGGTCCTATTTGATGACTTATGATGTGGGTAGAGAAACAAATATAAACAATACCCAAAAAATGAGAAAGATGAAAAATCAAATAAGCTGTTGCCATCCTGAATACTGTCTGCAAGAGAGGCACATGGGCCCAGGGGCTCCGGCCTGTGGGCCCCTCTCCTCCGTAGGGCTGCTCCGAGGCCACCTCTGCTCCTGCTGTGTGGCTGCCCTGCCTGCCCTCCCACACCCGCCCGCTGCACGCGCATCAAGATGTGGGGGAACCAGCCACTGCAGATGCCGTACTTCTCTCCCCCAGGGGCCGCTGACCCACTGCTAACTGGGCTGGAACAAGTCAGTTCCAAAGCCCCCTCACACACTCAAGATTCTTAAAATAAAATGAAAACAGGAGGGCAACAGAGGACCACACAGGAATGATTGTTCTTTGGATCGAGATATTCTCCAGTATGCAATACATTCAGAGTAAACCCCATGGGAGGAGGACCCCGCAGTGCTCCCCCTTCCCTGAAACGTCAGTCCCTAAAAAACAGCTTGTGTGCTACACACGGCCATGACATGTCACATGGCCCAAACAGCACCACCTGCTTTAAAACACGTGCACGCACACACACAGACGCACAGAGTCAGGGACTGCCGCCTCGGGGAGCGCACCTGGAGCCCCCCGGGCTCAGTGCAAAGTGTTGGGGCAGCGGGGCCATGTGCTCCGGCGTCAAGGCCCCTTCTTGATCGAGGGGTCGCTCATGAGTCACAGGGTCAATGGGAGCTCCCTGAAACCAGCAGCCTCAGAATCCTGTTCACTGGATTGACTTGTTTTCATGATTGAGGAAAGCAGCTCAGCACACAGGATTTTAACAACCCAGGTAACACCCCCCACAAATTCTCAGAAAATGCAAAGGATGGTAACCAAATTCCCAGCTGTACAGGAAGAGAAGGACATTTGGCTTCTTCGTGTGGCCACACACCTTCACTACTGGACAGTGACGCTGATCAGAGCATCGCCAGGCTGCGTGCTGGGGAAATCTGCCATCTGTGACCATAAATATAGAGAACTCTGCTTGCTGCAAGCAACTGACTCTTGTAGGTTCCACTTGCCCTTTTGGTCACAGATGAGCTGTTGATACCCTTTCTGATCCCAAATAAATAGTTGAAAGTCCTTTAACAAGTTCCAGCACGATGAGAGGGCCTCACACCGAGAACTCAGGGCCCCCTTTCCGGGGTCTCATCTGCAGTCGCCTAAATCGGAAGCCGACAAAGGGGTTCATCCAGAGCAGCGAGGGGGGCCCCCCGAAGACGGACTTCATGCCCTCCCAGCGCAGCCTCCGCTCCCATGTCGGCTTCTCGCTCTTCAGCCTCTCGATTTCCTGGAAGCAGAGAGAAGAGCAAGTGGACGGCGAGCAGTTACAACAGGGGATGTGCCTGCCACCCAATGTGAGCATCCCACTGCACCTGGGAGCCAGCCCGAGCTCTCCTCTGGCACCGGCCCTGTGGCCTCCCTGAGCACAGCCAGGCTGCAGCCAGTGGCCAGACCAGTGTCAGACCCAGCCTGGCAGTGGCCACCAGCTGGGTGGACGGCCCAGGCCACCACGGTGCTGCAGGAGGGAATGGGTCCCCCAGGCCAGGACACTGACCTTTTTCACACATTACAAATATCAAGTGCTTGCTCTGGACCAATAGTTTGAAGGCATGAAGTGCGTGTGACACACTCAGCTGCCAGGGGGCTGGATCTCCGAGAAACTGGGATTGGCCCAGGTCCACTGGCCTGGCTCTGCTGACTCAAATCACAGGGACTACGCACGGTGGGCTCAAAGCGTGGGCTATGCACGGTGCGGCGAAGCTCCTGGTTAATGGAACCCACTGGTGACAGCAGGGCTTCCCACCAACTTGTGCTGTCACCCAACAGTAAGCAAACACGGCAGAGAACGGAGCGTACCGTTTCGTCATTGCATATTGAGTGGATCTGGGTGCCAAACATAACTGCGGTGAAAGTGAAAAACAGAAGACCCTCAAGGCACAGGAAGATCAACAGGATTACAGTTACCGGAGGTGAGAAATCACTGCATTCTGTGAAGAAGAGAAGGGCGGCTGTGACCAACGTCAGAGTGTGATGGATCCCCCAAACCACAGGTGCAGGGTGTCTGGCTCACAGCAGGACCTCACCGGTCCTGCCTTCAGGCCGGCGTCCTTGGAGGAACGTGCTTGTTTTGTAAACAGGCACATCCACTGTTCACCAAGGGACTAGGGGGCTGCTCTTCCAGGTGAAAATTCATACCACCCTTCCCTGGTCAGCGGTTTTGAAAGATTCTGTATTACCTCAGATCTCTATTAAGACTATATCTCTGTGTTAAACTGCTTATTAAAATGCAACTAAAGCCAGAAAAGATGAGAGCGCATGTCCCTACACTTATGAGCCATCCTCACATGGTGGGGTACACACAAGTCTGTCTGTCTCGTCTGTGTCTCCAGGGCTGGACAGCTCACGCCGACCTGCACGACATGCGTGGACACTCACACTTGGTCAACAACACCTAGCTGGCTAACCAGGAAACACACACACGGTTTGCTGGGAACAGTACTAATTTTCACCTAGTCTCAAAAATCTGCAAAATACAAACAGAATTCAGCAGAAACAATTAACTGACTAAGGAAGACGGTTTATATATGGCTTCATCATACTAACAAAATGGCAGTGTGAAAACTTACCTATATTCTTTTCTTAAAAAAATTAATTACTAAAATAATTGTGAGGATTTCCTTCAAAATGGGAAAGTCAATTCTTCCTTTAAAGGTTGTCCCATCTCCCCAAGCAGGAGTCACTCATAGGAGGGCCACCAAGTCTGCGCTTACCCGTCCACTGCCCTCGGACACAGGAGATGAACTGGAGTCCACAGAGGGTGAGAGCGTGCACTGAGCACAGCGCGATGTACATCTGAAGGGGAGACACCCATCAGCGACAGCCAGGCACAGACGTCTTTCTGGGAGCAAAGGCCACTTAACTGCACGCTTACTCCTCGATTTTGTTTGTCAGTGAAAATGAGTTGGGGGAGGAAGCAGCAGCAGCGGTCTACACCTGCCACCTGCCTCTCTGGGGTCATACCGGACCAAGTGAAATAATCTCGAAGGAAAATATGCACTAGGGAAATTGTTCTAACACTTGGGCAAGATCCTATTAACAATTGGGATTCAAGGATTCTGAGAGAGAATTAAACCGCTGTAAAGCACCTAAAATAACACAGGCAACATAAACTTATCTGTTGGATGACTTCCTACCAAGGGCAGAATTTGAATCTCAGAGAAGCAGCTGGAGAGAAACTGGTCTGATGTTAGAATAAACTGACCTGCTCCAGGCAAGATTCTAGGTAAAGAACTGAAACTCAGTGTAAACCACTACACAAATATTTCTACTCACGGTAAAGAGCACAAAAAATCTCTGATTCTTCTCTCCTACACAGTTGTTCACCCATGGGCAGTGATGATCCATTTTCCGAATACATCTTTTGCAGATACTGGAAAGGAGGAGTCAGATTTTCAGTATCCCTCATTCTGAGGAAACACTACCCAATGAACACAGCACTGGTGAGAAGCCACCCATAGGGCCTCCTGCCCTGGGGAATGGGCCCCTGCAGTGATGGGCACTCGGGCTGCCCTGGGGAAGGGGTCCCTGGGGAAAGGGTCCCTGGGGAAGAGGTCCTTGGGGAAGCGGTCCCTGGGGGGAGGGGCTGAGGTGGGAACTCCCCTAAAGAAGACCAGCAGGACCCCCCCAGGCAGGGCCACTACTCTCCTGCCAGCACCATTCGGTTCCCTGGCCCAGCAGCTCTATCTCACTCTTTGCCTCTGAAACAGCTTACTTCTAGGAAAGTGGAA